TTGTTAATTAGGATTTTGTAGTCTAAAATTTAGCTTTGCTCCTAAGACTCATTGGGGTGTATTCATTTTTGCAACATGGTCTTGAATGAATTTGTTTGGAAAAATACTTTTTTTGCGTGCAAATTAACAAATCTTGTTTGCAATTAATCAAGGGATCAAATGTAATTGGACAATTGAATATAATCATAAATAAAATGTTCATTTGTAATATTTTGTTGAGAATCCTTTACCGGCAATGACTGCTTGAAGTCTGGAACCCATGGACATTACCAAAGACTGGGTTTCCTCCTTTCTGATGCTTTCAGTATAACTTCAGTTGCTCTTTGTTTGCGGGCCTTGCTGCCTTTAGTTTTGCCTTCAGCAAGTGAAATGAATGCTCAATTGGGTTGAGATCAGGTGATTGACTCAGCCATTGCAGAATATTCCACTTCTTTTCCTTCAAAAGCTCCTGGGTTGCTTTTTCAGTGTGTTTGGGATCATTGTCCATCTGTACTGTGAAGTGCCGTCCAATCAACTTTGCTGCATTTGGCTGAATCTGGGCTGACAGTATATCTCTAAACACTGCAGAGTTCATCCGGCCTCTTCTGTCTTCTGTCACATCATCAATAAACACCAATGACCCAGTGCCACTGGAAGCCACGCATGCCCATGCCATCACACTGCCTCTATCATGTTTTACAGATGACGTTGTGTGCTTTGGATCATGAGCTGTTCCAAGCCTTCTCCACACTTTTTTCTTCCCATCATTCTGGTACAGATTAATCTTAGTTTCATCCGTCCAAAGAATGCTTTTCCAAAACTGGTCTGGCTTGTTTAGATGTTTTTTTGGCAAAGTCTAATCTTTTTCCATTTTTCAGGCTTATGAATGGTTTGCACCTTGTGGTAAACCCTCTGTATTTGCTCTCGTGAAGTCTTCTCTTGATTGTAGACTTTGACAATGATACGCCCACCTCCTGGAGAGTGTCCTTCACTTGTCTGGATGTTGTGAATGGGTTTTTGCTACTAAATATTCCACGGTCAACTGTTAGTATTATAACAAAGTGGAAGCAACTAGGAACAACAGCAACTCAGCCACAAAGTGGTAGGCCACGTAACATAACAGAGTGGTGTCAGCGCATGCTGACGTGCACAGTGTGCAGAAGTCGCCAACTGTCTGCAGAGTCAATAGATAAAGAATTCCAAACTTGGTATGGCCTTCAGATTATCACAATAACAGTGTGTAGAGAGCTTCATGGAATTGGTTTCCATGGCTAAGCAGCTGCATCCAAGCCTTACATCACCAAGTGCAATGCAAAGCGTTGGATGCAGTGGTGTAAAGCACACCGCCACGGGACTCTAGAGTAGTGGAGACGTGTTCTCTGGAATGACCAATCATGCTTCTTGGTCTGGCAATCCGATGGAGGTGTCTGGGTTTGGCGGTTGCCAGGAGAACGGTACTTGCCTGACTGCATTGTGCCAGGTGTAAAGTTTGGTGGAGGGGGGATTATGGTGTGGGGTTTTCAGGGTTTGGGCTTGGCCTCTTAGTTCCAGTGAAGGGAACTCTTAAGGTGTCAGCATACCAAGACATTTTGGACAGTTTTCATGCTCCCAACTTTGTGGGAACAGTTTGGAGATGGCCCCTTCCTGTATCCATGACTGCGCACCAGGGTCGTGAACTCAACCCGATAGAACACATTTGGGATGAATTAGAGCGGAGACTGTGAGCCAGGCCTTCTCGTCCGACACCAGTGCCTGACCTCATAAATGCACTTCTGGAAGAATGGTCAAACCTTCCCATAGACACACTCCTAAACCTTGTGGACAGCCTTCCCAGAAGAGTTGAAGCTGTTATAGCTGCAAAGGGTGGGCCAACTCAATATTGAACCCTACGGACTAATACTGGGATGCCATTAACAGTTCATGTGCATGTAAAGGCAGGACGACCAATACTTTTGTCAATATAGTGTGTATGTGTATAACACAATACAATCTGAATCAGATAATATAAATAAAGTGGTAAATTATATAACATAAATATATTCCATGATAAGATCCACAAAGAATAATAGAACTGGGGCAAAATGAATCCAGCACAGTGCTTCAAAAGTGATGATTGAACACTTGAGTGTCCAGAAATGTGATTCTACCAAAACAGTGAACAATGGCCACTCATATCCACTATATGACCACTGATTCAACAGTAAGGTCAACAAATGTATTCCCCACTTAAGGGGTTAATCCTCTCATGTCTGTACAGTCTTCCTTTCCCCTCATTACCGGGCTCCAAGCATGCGATAAAGATCATGTAAAACAAGAGAGAGCCTCTAGTGTTCTCCTTCAAAAGACACAACTCCCCAGTCTGGCATATTTCTCTTTTTCCCCTTTACCTCAGCCCCTTTCCTCTATTTGTGATCCGTGTACAGCCCCCCCCTCCCCTCCGTTTTTCTCTCTTCTCTCTCCCTCACTTTTCTCCTCCTACACATATCCCCTCTTTTAAACACTTTGGGGTTTATTTAAAAATAATTTGCAGAGCTATCTGTTCTGAGAATCTGATGTAAATGTACTCTTTGCAAATACGGGCAAAAACAAATGTTATTAGGATCTCAGGGTCCCCATCAGAGCTCCCCTCCCCCCTCACCATATATCAGTGTCCCCATTAGCGTCTCTCCTTATAGCAGGGTCTCCATCACAGTCCTCCGTTCCGTTATATCAGTGTCTCCATCAGAGTCCTCCCTTAAGTCAGTGTCTCCATCAGAGTCCCCCCTTATATCAGAGTCTCCATCACAGTTCTCTGTTATCCTTTAGATTGTAAGCTCCACAAGCAGGGCCCTCACATTCCTTCTGTACTGAAATGTATTGTAATTGTACTGTCTCCCTTATATTGTAAACGCTGCGCAAACTATTGGTGTTATATAAATCCTCTATAATAATAATATGAATGTCTCAATCAGAGTCCCCCCTCATATCAGAGTCTCCATCACAGTCCCCCCCCCTCATATCAGTGTCTCCATCACAGTCCTCCCTTATATCATTTAGTGTCTCCATCACTGTCCCCCCCCTTATATCAGAGTCTCCATCAGAGTCCTCCGTTATATCAGGGTCTCCATCACAGTCAACCCTTATATCAGGGTCTCCATCACAGTCTTCCATTATATTAATGTCTCCATCAGAGTCCTCCCTTAAATTAGTGTCTCCATCAGAGCCCCCCTTTCTATCAGAGTCTCCATCACAGTCCTCCATTATATCAGTATCTCCATTAGAGTTCACCTTATGCCAGTGTCTCCATCACAATTCCCCCTTATATCAGAGTCTCCATCACAGTTCTCTGTTATACCAGTATCTCCATCACAGTCTCCCCTTATATCATTTAGTGTCTCCACCACAGGCCCCCCCCCCCCCCCCTTATATCAGCATCTCCATCAGAGTCCTCTGTTATATCAGGGTCTCCATCAAAGTCCCCTCTTATATCAGGGTCTCCATCAGAGTCCCTCCTTATATCAGGGTCTCCATCAGAGTCCTCTGTTATATAAGGGTCTCCATCACAGTCAACCCTTATATCAGGATCTCCATCACAGTCTTCCATTATATCAATGTCTCCATCAGAGTCCTCCCTTAAATCAGTTTCTCCATCAGCGTCCCCCTTTATATCAGAGTCTCCATCTCAGTCCTCCGTTATATCAGTATCTCCATCAGAGTTCACTTTATGTCAGTGTCTCCATCAGAGTCCTCTCTTACACAAGTGTTCCCGTCAGAGCCTCCTTTTACATCAGTGTCCCATTCAGAATCCCCCTTGCATCACAGTTCCTCCTTACATCAGGTTTCCTATTAGAGTCCCCCCTTACATCAGGGTCCCCATTGTAAGCATGGCTGTAGCTGTAGGGCTAGATCCGGTAGGCAGATCTAGATGGAGGAATTTCTGTCCTCCTGTGAATGCTGGAGCAAGCACATTATTGGTTGCTAGGATGCTGGCAGGTTGGGGAAGGGCCTGACATGAACAGCATAGGCAGTTTTTGCTGACCTTAATCTTCAATATGTGCACATTGATGATTTGCCAGTGGCTCTTGGGCCATAGTTTGGAGATCCCAAGTATGATGCAACAAAATGTAAGAGAACTGGTTAAAAGTAAACATTGTAAGTTACGAACATGATTAAATTCTACTTTGCTCTGCTGAAAAACTTCAACCAATTTAATAAATGTTTCACACAAAGTCATCCTAATTTTACAGATGTACAGGATTTTTTTGTTGCTCCCCCATTGGAGTGATTACCATTTACTTTATGTACTGGTGACAGTGACCAGAGGAACAGGAAGAGGGAGTTTTACTAAAACTGGAGCACTCAGAATCTGGTGCAGCTGGACATGGTAGCCAATCAGCCTTTAAATTCAGTTTGTTCAATAAGGCTTCGATAATAAAACCTGGAAGCTGATTGGTTTCTATGCAGAGCTGCACCAGATCTTGCACTCTCCAGTCTTCGTAAATCCCTCCTGAAATCTCCCTAATGGGAACACAGAGCAATACAAACCTGACAATGTTTCAAGCCATTCTCTACTCTAAAACTGAAAAAAAATGTTCTGCCTGTAGCTTCAAAATTTGTGGACTTTTTCATTTATATAGCAAAAAAATAAAAATCCCAGTGGTGAATAAATACCACCAAAATAAAGTTTTTTCTATCTCAAAAAAATGCAAAAAAATGAATATGGGTACAGTGTTGCATGACCACACAATTGTCATTCAAAGTGTGATAGCACTGAAAGTTGAAAATTGGCCTGGACTGGAAGGGGGTGAAAGTGTCCAGACCAGGGGTGGACTGACCATTTGGAAACTTGGGCACTGCCTGAGGGCCCAGGGTCAGTAGGGGGCCCCATGAGATGCCCCTGGTACCTTTTTCATAGGCTTTTTTGAGTTTGGGCAAGGACACAGGGGCCCCATGATCCCCTATTGCCCGGGGGCCCCATGAGTTGTCAGTCCGCCCCTGGTCCGGACTTGAAGTGGTTAAATAAAAAAAAAAACGCAGCCTACCTTAGCACTGTCTTCAGATGGCTTACTTTCTTCTTCTTTGGGTATAATGTTTTTAAACAACTTAAGCAGCCACTGCTTGGACAGGGACCAGTTTCTGAAAGATAGAATAAGAGAGATCAGCTTGTGCAGCCTATGCCAATTCTGTTCTTTATACTTAGGATGATGTGAAATAGATACACTGAACAATATTTACTCAGAATAAGGGCTCATGTACACTGCAGCTGATAAACTCACGTTCAGGAGCTGTTCAGCGTTTTTTTCAGCAGCCCCTGAACTCACCCTAATGTTTTCCTATGTGTCCATGTACACATCTTTGTTTACAGGCATTTGAGTTTACAGTCGTTTTTTTTAACGCAGAAAACCTGCATTCAGCAGTCAATTTTATCAACGTTTCAAACTTTTCCAGTTCTCAATGCTGTCCAGAGCCTTTTTTCATCTTGAAAAATGCATGCAAAGCGTTTTCAATGTACTCAGATGGACAAAACACTGAACACAGGATGTTCCCACCAAGCTTGTCACACATTGTAATGACCAATTCACACCTCAGACCTCTCCCACCCTTGGAAACAAAAGATATGTTAATGACCATTCACACCTCAAATTCCTCATGAAGACCCCCTTCCAGGTGGCCTTAATGACTCCCTCCACCAGACACCTTTCCCACCCAAAGAAACAAAAGAAATGTTAATGAGCAACTCACACCTAAGCTCATTTCAACACATACTGCTGTCTCTGCTTCTACTCTCTGTATTTCTCTGAAACCATCTGAAATAGTTAATAATTTACCACTTTTCAGTGCATTCTGGGCATTTGGGAGGTTCTCCTGTGCTTATCTTTAAAAAACGCTTTTAAACACAAATGCACATAAACGCGCATAAACGTGCATAAATGCGTTATGCAAACATGGCTAAACAGACGTTTTTTAACCTACGTTTTCCAGCAGTCAGTTTCCATCGTTCAGAAGTGTCCCATGTACATGGGGCCTAATGCTCTACATGATCACATACCCAGAATTAATCATGCTTTATTTATCAAAGGCAATTGTGGTATTGTATATTACCAGGCAAGATAAACCAAGTGCAAACGCACAGGATGTTGTCCTTAGTAAATATGAGATTTGATAATACCTAGGATAAATTTTCAGTTTGCAAAGTTCAGTTATGAGGAAAAGGGCCAAGTGAAAACAAATAATTTTCAAGTGTTTTTTCTTCCTAAAATAATGAACGGAGGGCCAGTTCACACTAGAATGTGGTGCAGGAAAGGCATGTTCTGTGCACGTTTCCCACACCACACACGTGAGCGCGCTGCATTTGCAAAGATGCATTTGGGGTGAAATTAAGTACAGGCATCTTTGCAAATGCAGCGCGTTTGTGGCTACTAAACCACATGGTACCGCAGTAACCAACCATTGTACCGCAATTTAACTGCAGTGCTTGCACTACTTTTTGCATGCTCCAGTACTTTGGCAGCCCATTCAAATAAATGGGAAGTCAAAACCAGAACATGAGGGAGAGTACCGGCCCTAAATGGTCTCTTTTAATATTTCATACTGTGTTCCTAACATAAAGAAGAATTCCATTTACCTGCAATTCCCTCAACACCTAATCTTGGCAATGTAAGAGGGCAATAGGTGTTGTGATGAAGTGATTTCAAACCATTTTTTTTTAATTAAATTAAATTTAAATTAAAATAAGATATTATAGTTACCTGCTCTGTGCAGGTAATAGTATTGCACAGAGCAGTCCCTTATTTCCTCTTCTGGAGTCCACTACTGGTGCTCCTCCCCTCCCCTCTCCTGAGTGTGCCCACGTAGCAGGCTGTTTGCTATGGGAGCACATGTGCGGCCTCACTCCTGAGCCGGGCTGTGTACACCCATAGACACACACAGCACGCCTTGGCCCTGCCCCACACTCCCTCCTCATAGGATTTCACTGAAAGCAGCAGGAGCCACACGAGTCACTTCACTGAGTCATAAAGCCTGTGAATCCTGGAAAAAGAAGCAGTGCTAAATCAAGAGAAGACTCAGGTAAGTGTCTAGGTAGGTGTGACAGGTAGTGGAAAGTTTTTACCTTAATGCAGAGAATGCATTAAGGTAAAAAAAAAAAAAACCTTTAGAGTTTATAACCACTTTAAAGCTGAATTTCAGGCATAAAAAATAGCTTTAGTGAGCCAATGTATTATTATTATTATACAGGATTTATATAGCGCCAACAGTTTGCTCAGCGCTTCACAATATAACGGGAGACAACACAGCAACAATACAGTTCAATACAAGAGGGTTAGGAGGGCCCTGCGCCTTGGAGCTTACAATCTAGGAGGGAGGGGTTAGTGGTACAAAAGGTAGTAACTGTGGGGGATGGACTGATTGGAAGAGTAGAAGATTCCATTATTAGTTGAGGGAAGGATAGGCTTCCCTGAAGAGATTTTCAGAGATCACCTAAAAGCTCTGGAGAAGTCCTGGAGATGAGCATGGGAGGAGGAGACAAGGGTGCTAGAGAGCAGGAGGTCTTGCGAGGAGCGGAGAGTACGGTTTGGGTGATATTTGGAGACAAGATCGGTGATGTAATTTGGGGCAGAGTTCTAAATGGCTTTATACGTTATTGTTAATGTTTTGAATTTTATCCGTTGGGCAACGGGAAGCCAGTGGAGGGATTGGCAGAGAGGGGTGGCAGATACAGAACGGTTAGTAAGGTGGATGAGTCTAGCAGCAGCATTCATGATAGACTGAAGAAGGGATAGCCTGCGATGAGGTAGGCCAATGAGGAGGGAGTTACAATAGTCAAGGCGAGAGATAAGGGAGTGAATAAGTTGCTTAGTGGTTTCCGAGGTTAGGAACGGCCGTATCTTGGAGATGTTGCGGAGGTGAAGTCTACAAGATTTGGACAGTGAATGGATTTGGGACTGAAAGGACAGATGGGAGTCTAGGATGACACCTACTACCCTAGCATGAGGGGAGGGACTGATGATTGTGTTATTGATCTTGATGGAGAAGTCAGGGGAGGGGGCACGGGCTGGGGGGAATACTAAGAGCTCAGTTTTGGAAAGATTGAGTTTGAGGAAGTGGAGTGACATCCATGCTGATATGTCACTTAGTAGGTTAGTAATGTGAGAGGAGACTGAAGGGGTGAGGTGAGGGGTAGAAAGATAGATTTTTGTGTCATCAGCATAGAGATGGTACTTAAAGCCATGGGAGTTTATCAAGTGACCAAGGAAGGAGGTGTAGATGGAGAAGAGAAGGGGTTCAAGGACAGAACCTTGAGGGACCCCTACAGAAAGAGGGAGTGGAGAGGAGGAGCCAGAGTTATAGCTGAAGGAGCGCTGCGATAGGTAGGAGGAGAACCAGGAGAGAGCAGAGTCTCTGAGGCCAAGAGAGTGGAGTTTTTTTTAGGAGGAGGGGATGGTCAACCTTATCAAAAGCCGCAGAGAGGTCAAGTAGTAAGAGTACGGAGTAGTGGCCATTGGTTTTAGCTGTTAGTAGATCATTAGTGAGAGTTTTAGTAGGGCAGTTTCAGTGGAGTGTAGTGAGCGAAAGCCAGACTGTAAAGGGTCAAGAAGGATGTTGTCAGTGAGGTGGGAGCTCAGGCGATTGTAGACTAAGTGTTCTAAAAGTTTAGCAGTAAATGGCAGCAGGGAGATGGGTCTTAAGTTGTTCAGGTTGGTGGGGTCCAGGGAGGGCTTTTTAAGTATGGGAGTGATGTGTGCATGCTTTAGAGGGTAGGGGAAGGCTCTGTTAGAGAGGGAGAGATTGAAGATGTGATGGAAGGATGGAAGAAGAGGGTGACTGTAGTAGTTGTGAGGGGACAGGATCCAGGGGGCAGGTAGTGAGACGGGCTTCTTAGAAAACCTTAGTGACCTCTTCAGTAGTAGCAAGGTCAAAAGAGGATAGTGTTGAGGGAGGTTTAGTATAAGGTATGCCAGGTGGGATGGATGTCTGTGCAGTGGCGATGCCCCTAGGAATTGCGTCAATCTTGTTTTTGAAATGATTTGCAATCTCGTGAGCAGTGAGTGAGGTACTGGGTGGAGGTGGAGATGGAGAAAGTAGAGAGTTAAAAGTAGAGAAGAGACGACGAGGACTGGATGAGAAGGTATTAAGAAGAGTGACAAAGTAGGCTTGTTTGGCAGCATGAAGGGAGGAATTGTATGTTAAGAAAGCAGATTTATATAGGGTGAATTCTTGCTGGGATTTGATTTTACACCACAATCGCTCCAGCACACGACTATGTCGCATAAGATTTCTGGTGTCGTAAGTCTGCCAAGGCTGTAACGGTCGGGGCCTGATGCTTCGTGTTGTTAGAGGAGCAAGTGAGTCTAATGCGGATGAAAGCGAGCTGTTGTAGACAGTAGTGGTCAGGTCAGGGCAGGACAGGGGAGAGATTGTGTCAAAGAGTTGGTCAGTTGTAGAGTGGAAAGGAGCAGGGTTCAAGTTGTGAAGGTTTCTGCGGGTAATTGTTTGCTGCTTGGAGGGATAGGTGTATGAAGATGAGGACACTGTGAAGGTGATGAGATTGTGATCAGAGAGAGGAAAGGGGGTGTTTGCGAGGTTGTAGGGAGTGCAAAGATGGGAGAAAACAAGGTCTAATGTATTCCCATCAGAGTGAGTGGAGGACTGTATACACTGTGCTAATGCAAAAGATGAGGTTAGGTTGAAGAGTTGGGATGTAGCCGGGTTGTTGACATTAATGGGGATGTTAAAATCTCAGAGAATGATAGTGGGTAGTTCAGAGGAGAGAAAGTAGGGTAGCCAGGTGGAGAAATCATCAAGGAAGCGGGAATCCGGTCCAGGAGGCCAATAGATCACTGCAATCCTCAGAGAAATGGGAGAGAACAGCCGGATGCAGTGAGTCTCGAAAAAAGAGAAGGATAGAGAGAGGGAGGGTTAGGGAGGACTTGAAAGGTGTTCAGTGGGGATAGAAGCAAACCAACCCCACCACCTTTCCGACCACTGGGTCTGGGTGAGTGGGTCTAGAGAAGGCCTCCATAGGAAAGTGCTGCGGGAGAAGCAGAATCTGCTGCTTGGAGCCAGGTTTCTGTAATTGCTAGTAGGTTAAGGGAGCGAGCAAGAGACAAAAAGGTCATGGACAGAGGTGAGCTTATTACAGACAATGTAATGAAGTATAGCTTAAAGTGATATTAAACCTTTGTTTTTTTTTAAAATAACAAAAATGTTATACTTATCTTCTCTGTGCAATGGTTTTGTCCAGAACAGCTCTGACCCTCCTCTTCTGCGGTCCCCCCTGGCTCCTCCCCTTTTCCACGTATTCCCCCAACCCCAGCAAGCCGCTTGATAAGGTGGGTATTCGTACGGGATAGCTTACAAGCCCCGCTCGCTGCATCTATTGACACAGACAGAGGGGTTTGCCCTGCTCCCCCTCCCCTCATCATAGAATTTGATTGACAGCAGCAGGAGCCAAAGGCTCCTATTAATCTGCCCCAGAAGGAGGGAGAGAGCAGAGAAAACATACGGGCTTTAGAACTACTAGAAGTTGTGCAGGCATCAGGATCCTGTAGAAACCTTCACTGCAGGGATGCCCCGTTCTCTTCCCGCCTTATGTGAAGCTGCTGTGAAAAAGTTTTCAAGGAGGACCCACATGCCTCATCCATTGAGTAAGATTCTTTCATTGCTTTCTCTGCCTGCAACATGATCTGTGAATGGAGAAGGGAATCCTGTGACTCACCACACCCCCTTTCTCCCCATTCATGTGTTAGGGGCCGTGAAAACAACGAAAGAATGTTTCTCAGAGGAGGAAGCAGGAGGCAGCAGGTCCTCATTGGGAACTTTTTCATAGCAGGTTTACACAAGACCCAAAACTATTAACCTCGCAGTACCGCAACTTCAGTGACAGGAAGAGGACTGGGTATTCCTACAGTGAAGATTTTTACAAGATCCGGCTGCGTGCACAACATGGGACATACTTCAAAGAGGTTATTAGCACACTAAGGTTCCATGCACACTAGGGTTTTTTTAAGCTCCTAGAAGCAGTTATTAGCATTTTTTTTCCTGCTCCTAGAAGCTAAACTGCGTCATCCTATGTGTCCATACACACTACTTTAGGCTAGTAGCATTTTTTTCGCTTCAGCTTCTAGGAGCAGAAAAAAAATGTGTTTATGGAGTTTTTTGGAGTGTTTTTTTCCAGCAGAGCACTCCTAAACACTGCTACTAACACTACTAAAACGCTCCTAACAACTTTTTTCTAGCTGTTTTTTCCTCTGCATGTACTTTAAAAATGCTAATAAACTGCTAACACACCTAAAAGATTCTGAACGCTACTAAAAAATGCTGTTGCTGGCCTTTTTCCCAGCGTTTTTTTTTTTTTGAGCTTTAAAAAATGCTAGTGTGCATGGAGCCTAATGCGATAGAGAATTTTTTTCCAGTTAAATATCAGCTTTAACACTGTAATAATGACAGTAAATGTCCTTACTTGAAAAACCACTCAGGTAGCTGGGAGCCGCGCTCAAATCCTTCATCAAAGGTGCGGAAATGCTCTTCAAATTCCTTGATTGTGTCCTTGGTAGTAGGGCACACTCCTTTACCAAACAGATTGTCCACCACGGCAGGGTACATGACTTGCCTGTCAATGAGAACAAGATCCAACCGGGTTTATACTGTTTCTTTTTATTCTTGTTGATTTATTCAATAAATAGAAACAAATTACATTACCCACACCAAGCAATCAGAACTCACTCTACTGCAGTTAGACCAGAACAACATGGCTACTGAACTGGTAGCTAAAGGCTTGTTCATAATAGTGGTTGAGGGGGTGGTAAAACCCTGTGGTTGAGCCATTTTTTACCACCCCACCAACCACTCCTGCTTTAGCTGCATGTGGGGGTATACAGAGCAGCTGTGATGCTTTGATTTGTACTATGGCAGCAATTGTACCCCCCCCCCCCAGGCGATCCATTCAAGCGAATGGGGTCACGCTGCAACGCATGCCCTATATGGAAGAAAAATATATTTGAAATAATATTTTAAAAATATTTTTCCCAAAAATATTGACATATATTTGAAATACTACAATTTTGGCCATATTCAATATTTTTCAAAATATATTTCAATTAAAAAAAAAAAAAAAAAAAAATAATATATATATATATATATATATATATATATATATACTGTATGTTGAAATGCGTTTTCAAATATACTGTATGTCTTTAAAAATAGAAATCTACATTTTTGGAATGCATTTACAAATATATGTAAAAATAGGTTAAAATTACTTTTTTAATGTTAAAAAAAAAATCTGAAGAATATATTTAAAAAAATATATTTTTTAACTTAGGGAGGTGACCCAAGTGAAATTTTGTTATTACCTATACATTCTAGTGTCACATAGCCCCTTACTCCCCCCCTCCCCAGATTATTATATATATTTTTTTTTCTGTTCCTTCCCCCATATTCCCCCCACCACCTCATTCTACATTTCCTTTTCTTGCTGTTCTTCTTTCAGACCTCCTTTTCTTTTCACACCTGTTATACCACCCTATCATTCATTCTTCACCAACCAAATGGAGCATTTACTTCCACACAAATATGACTAACTGCAACTATATCACTCACTCAAGCTATAAATACGTAAAGTAAAAAATAGAACTATCCAGCTCAACTTGCCAGCCTACCCCAGTCTAATAATGGCTATTGTCAGCAAGGAACATGGATAAGTATAACTTATCAAAGGAGGGGGATAAGAAAGCCAGTTCAAACGACAATAGTCATTATTAGACTGGGGTAGGCTGGCAAGTTGAGCTGGATAGTTCCATTTTTTACTCTGTGACGCCTTCCATGTTCACTGTTTAAAAAGCCAGTTATAGACCTGGGTAGGTGACCAGTTTTTTCTTTGTATAAATACGTAAACCATGACTTTCACAGCATCCAATGCTTTCCCTACCCTAACATCCATATCACCTTATCACTTAGAATTGCTGACATTCAAGCAGTGACAGCATGTACATACGTAGAGCCTCTTTCCTCTGCGTATCCACTGGTCTACATTATATGCCTGAAGTAACGTTCTACCCCATTTTGACTTGTATTACTGTTTATAATATGTCCCGTCTGCGAAACAGGAGGCAACATCTCATGTTTATGTTATGACTATGATCTATAGCTGTATATGCTATCTTGTTTCTTCTGCTTCTGGAAAAAAAAAAAGATATTTTTAAATATTTCTCATATATTTCTGACAGCATATTCCATGATTCTAAACAGAGCAACCATTAGATGACTGCATATACTTAAAACCACTCCAACTGGCCAGGACAAGACTGGCTGACTGGCTACCAGGCTGATAATAGGAATTAGTAGCAAGTTGCTACATCTAAGTATATTTTGCTTTTTGTTTAGGTGAACTCAACAGTAAGCTAATAATTTTGGCTTCTCCTTTATGGTATCCTTTCTTGCCTGATGTAATGCGGGGGGACTCTGATATAATGTGAGGGGACTCTGGGGGACCTGATGTCATGTGGGGGGATCCTGGGGACCCTGAAGCAATGCTGGGGGGGGGGGACTCTGGGGACCCTGAAGCAATGCGGGAGGGACTCTGGGGACCCTGAAGTAATGCGGGGGGGATTCTGGGGACCCTGAAGTAATGCGGGGGGGGGACCCTGAAGTAATGCGTGGGGGGGACGACTCTGGGGACCATGAAGTAATGCGGGGAGGGGACTGGGGACCTGCGGGGGGGACCATGATGTAATGCGGGGAACACTTAACAGTGGCATTTCATGTGATACTTTTCAAGGGAGTGTTTAGGGTCGAAGTTAGGGGTTGGATGGGGCAAATGGTGGCGAGTAACTCTTAAGGCCTGGCTAGTAACTCAGGACTTTTTTGAGCCCTGTGTAAAGGCTTTTAAAGCCTTTACACCATAGTTTGGTGCTGTTCTATGGGCGTACACAATTTTAAAGCGTGATATGTTAGGTATCTATATACTCGGCGTAGCATAATTTACATTTTACCAGAAAATTGGGTATTATATTGTGTTTGTGTTCACTAAAATTCATTAAAGTGTATTTTCTCCAAAATGTTCGCCTTTGAAAAACCGCTGCACAAATACTGCGTTACATAAGAAATTGCAACACCCACCATCTTATTCTCTAGGGCAGTGGTCTCCAAACTTAGGCCCTTTGCTAGCCTTTATCCAGCCCTTGGTGCACTATTCCTCTCTCTGACACCAACGATGGGGCACTGTTCCTCCCACTGATAGAAACAATGGGGCACTATTCTTCCCACTGATACCAATGATAGGTCACTATTCCTCCCCCCCTGACACCAATGATGGGACACTATTCCTCCAACTGATACAAACGATGGGGCACTATTCCTCCCACTTATAGAAATAATAGGGCACTATTCCTCCCACTGATAGAAACAATGGGGCACTATTCTTCCCACTGATACCAACGATGGGGCACTACTCTTCCTCCTACTGCCCACCAACCCTGAGGCCATGTTTATTTTCACTAATGCTGGGCCCAGGACAATTTTACCCCCACTGGCAACAAACTAGCCCTCCTAAAGTCTGAAGGACAGTAGACTGGCCCTTTGTTTGAAAAGTTTGGAGACCCCTACTCTAGGGCCTCTGCTTTTTACATGTATGTGAAAAGTGTCAGAAATGGCCCGACAGGCAAGTAGTTAAAAATAGAAGAAAACTTTGGTGGGAAGAACAAAAAAAAAAAAAAAAAAAAAGAAAATTCCTATCAAAAAAATCTTATCAACATTTATAAAGGTCACAGGTCATAAGGTACATAAATCCTCCTTGGATTAATTCTCTTACCTCACCAGGTCGTAGAGTTCCTTAGTGCCCTGTGAGCTCAGTTGGTCCAGATGCGAGGAAAATTCACTGCACAATCGGGTTACATGCGCGTTCAGTCTGTTATGTGACAGCCTAAATGTCATCATTTTTAATATGTCACCGTGCAACTTATAGAAGGTTTCCTCTTTAACGGATGCTGTTTTTGGATTTAATAAAAAAGGTAGATGGTGCAAAGGATTATTTTCTTGAACAATAAAACATCCTATTCAAGTCTCAGGTATAGAAAATGGTACTTCAACTTCAACAAAATATTGTTACTAGAGTGACCCTAAGCTGTAAATTGTGGAACTCCGGCCCACAAATGTCAAATTTTACTATGGATTATTTGGTGAAAAGATGGACATATTGCCAAGCGCTTATTGCTGTCTTTGCCCCCATTAACGAGATTTACCTTTACTTCCAGCAGTGGAGACCGGGCAGAAAGTGAACTGGAAATATCCCCAACTCCAATCTTTCTACAATTGTCAAAGGTTCTAGTTAGGCTACGTTCACACTAGCTTTGTCAGCAGGCGTCAGACAGGTGTTTGGGAAGCGTTTTTAACGCTTCTCAAACGCCTATGAAAATTCTGCACATGGCAGCACACAGTGCTGTTCACACTGAAGAGTTAGCGTCGCGGCAAAACTGACACCTAGTGTTGAGTCAGGAGGAGTCGAAGCCTCCCATTCAAGTCTATGGTGCTGCTCCGCAAATGCCTGGCAGGCATTTTGCAGAGCGTTAATACCATTTAACTTCATTATAGGAGTTTTTGGTGTGGTTTTATCAACCACCTCAAAACCACGCATAGGGCATTTTGGGAGTGTTTGAGGAACGTTAAAAACGCTTCCCAAATGCCCGTCTAACACCTGTCAAATGCTATAGGGGCATTGGCAAGAGTTAGAAATAAAGTCAAGTGTGAACGAGCCCTAACAGAAGTCATTGCTCTGAGCTGGACTTACTTTTTTTTCCCTCTCTGGTGTCCAATATTGAAACATTCCTAGGGATAATCCACCAGGGAGCCAGCCAGAAGTACCTAGAGCAGTGGTTCTCAACCTTTCTAACGCCGCGACCCCTTAATACAGTTCCTCATGTTGTGGTGACCCCCAACCATAAAATTATTTTCGTTGCTACTTCAGAACTGTAATTTTGCACTGGGAGGAATAGTGCCCCATCATTGGTATCAGTGGGAGGACTAGCGCCCCATCATTGGTATCAGTGGGAGGAATAGTGTCCCATTGTTGGTATCAGTGGGAGGAATAGTGTCCCATCGTTGGTATCAGTGGGAGGAATAGTGCCCCATCATTGGTATCAGTGGGAGGACTAGCGCCCCATCATTGGTATCAGTGGGAGGAATAGTGTCCCATCGTTGGTATCAGTGGGAGGAATAGTGTCCCGCCATTGGTGTCAGTGGGAGGAATAGTGTCCCATTGTTGGTATCAGTGGGAGGAATAGTGTCCCATCGTTGGTATCAGTGGGAGGAATAGTGCCCCATCATTGGTATCAGTGGGAGGACTAGCGCCCCATCATTGGTATCAGTGGGAGGAATAGTGTCCCATCGTTGGTATCAGTGGGAGGAATAGTGTCCCGCCATTGGTGTCAGTGGGAGGAATAGTGCCCCATCATTGGTATCAGTGGGAGGAATAGTGCCCCATCATTGGTATCAGTGGGAGGACTAGCGCCCCATCACTGATGTCAGTGGGAGGAATAGTGTCCCATCGTTGGTATCAGTGGGAGGAATAGTGTCCCGCCATTGGTGTCAGTGGGAGGAATAGTGCCCCATCATTGGTATCAGTGGGAGGAATAGTGCCCCATCATTGGTATCAGTGGGAGGACTAGCGCCCCATCACTGATGTCAGTGGGAGGAATAGTGTCCCATCGTTGGTATCAGTGGGAGGAATAGTGCCCCATCGTTGGTGTCAGTGGGAGGAATAGTGCCCCATCATTGGTATCAGTGGGAGGAATAGTGCCCCATCATTGGTGTCAGTGGGAGGAATAGTGTCCCATCGTTGGTATCAGTGGGAGGAATAGTGCCCCATCATTGGTGTCAGTGGGAGGAATAGTGCCCCATCATTGGTGTCAGTGGGGGGAATAGTGCTCCATCATTGGTGTCAGTGGGAGGAATAGTGTCCCATCATTGGTGTCAGTGGGAGGAATAGTGCCCCATCATTGGTGTCAGTGGGAGGAATAGTGTCCCATCATTGGTGTCAGTGGGAGGAATAGTGCCCCATCATTGGTGTCAGTGGGAGGAATAGTGCCCCATTATTGGTGTCAGTGGGAGGAATAGTGCCCCATCATTGGTGTCAGTGGGAGGAATAGTGCCCCATCATTGGTATCAGTGGGAGGAATAGTGCCCCATCATTGGTGTCAGTGGGAGGAATAGTGCCCCATCATTGGTATCAGTGGGAGGAATAGTGCCCCATCATTGGTATCATGGGAGGAATAGTGCCTCATCATTGGTATCAGTGGGAGGAATAGTGCCCCATCATTGGTGTCAGTGGGAGGAATAGTGCCTATCATTGGTGTCAGTGGGGGGAGGAATAGTGCCCCCATCGTTGGTGTCAGTGGGGGGAGGAATAGTGCCTATCATTGGTGTCAGTGGGGGGAGGAATAGTGCTTTCTTTTGGTGGTATTTACTTTACTTGCCACTGGGTGTCTTACTTTTTGCGCTATAAAACAAAAAAAGAGCAAAAAATTTGAACTGGCCACAGTGCAGCCGTCATTTGGCTACCTGCAGTCGGCAAGTTGTTAACCTTCCTCCAGTCTGCACAAATAAACAAATGAATAAAATGCCTTTTCATGAAGTTTCACTTGAGGGCTTATCTGGTAAAACCAACCCTATTGTACTGTGAAGAGGTGGCATACATATACATTTTCCCTGAAATGCTTAATTTTTTTCCCCCAGTGGGTGGGCAAGGGAATGCATAAGATCTGAGCATCCTGACCTGTATATCGGGAGCTTATTTCAGCATTCTGACTTGTATGGATGTAGTACTACCCCCTTAGGGGTTGCTGTTGAATTTGGATCCCCCAATAGTCCTTCACTCCCAGTCAGATAGCACTTTTTACACACGCGTTCATCCACGGTCAGAAATCAGGCCTAGAGCGTTGGTTTTGTTTCAGTCCTGACTGAATTTTGACTCCTCTGACTATCTCACCTGAGCTGCTAATCAGCACCTCTCTAGCCATCAGGGTCTAGCTCCACCTAGTGTAACCAGAAGGGAGCTACATGTATATCTGGACCTGCTAAGCACTATGTAATGTATAAGTTTTAGGCAGGTGTGAAAAAATGCTGTAGATTAAGAATGCTTTTGGAAATAAAAGTGTTACTTTATTTTTTATAAATTAACAAAATTGAACATAAATGAACAGAAGAGAATCCAAATCAAATCAATATTTGGCGTGACCATCCTTTGACTTCAAACCAGTATCAAATCTTTAATTTTTCTAGGTACACTTGCACGCAGTTCTTGAAGGAACTTTGCAGGTAGGTTGTTCCCGACATCTTGGAGAACTAACCACAGATCTTCTGTGGATGAAGGCTGCTTCAAATCTTTCTTGGCTATCAAATCCTTCAGTGCCTAGGGAGTGTGAATGCTCGGGTGCCCCCATAGCAAGCTGTTTGCTGGGGGGCACCCGACAGGAGAAAGGGGTCAGGAGTGCCAGGGGGAAGGGGCGCGGGGGTACCCGAGAACAGGAGGATCCGGGCTGCCCTGTGCAAAACCATTGCACACAGCAGGTAAGTATAGACGTGTTTGTTTTCTTTTTTTATTTAAGCCTTTAGAGTCACTTTAAATTTCCTTGGCTGACCACTATGTCTGTGGTTATCAATGTTGCCCGTTTCTTTATGCTTCTTCAAAAGAGCTTGAACAGCTCTTGAAATCGCATTTTGCTTTGAAATCTTTGCCTGGCAGAGAGCATGCTGATGCATTAGAACTAGCTTGTGTCTTGTTGCTGTGCTCAGTCTTGCCATGGTGTATGATCTGTGACATGAAACAATGTTGTACAACCTCACCTTAGTAGCAGAGTTTGGCTGTTCCTCACCCAGTTTTAAGCCTACTACACAGCTGTTTCTGTTTCAGTTAATGACTGTGTTTCAACCTAGCATAGCACCTGCTTGGTATAATTGGTTATTCATGCACCTGACTCTAATCTTACAAAATCCCTGACTTTGTGCAAGTGTATAGAGTGTGCAAGTGTAAGAATTGATGCTGGTTTGAAGCCAAAGGGTAGCCGTACCAAATATTGATTTGATTTAGATTTGATTTAGATTTTTCTTTTGTTCGCTCACTTTGCATCATAAAAATAAACAATTCAAATACATATTTTTGAATGTACACTATTCTTATTTCACAGCATTTCTTCACACCTACCTAAACCTTTTGCACAGTACTGTATATGCCTAGACCTGATTTTGGAATTCTGATCATTGTACCTGGACCTAATTTGAGCATTGTGACCTGTATGTCTTGCGTTCCTTGAGTTGCATACAAAACTTGGAAACACGTACCTGTGGATCCTGCCCGTGAAAGGGTCCATGCGCAATAGGATTGAAAAAAATGCCATTTCTTTTGGCAGAAACCCCCCCCCCCCCACACTCATATTTGATTTTGTACGCATATTTAGGAGCATTTAATGTTTGTTTTCTGCCAGAAAACTCCACTTAAAAACGCAAATCAGAAGGGTTATTTTTTCTGCCTCTACACATGGAGTTTAAAATATGCCTCAAAACATCCTAATGTGCATGGATAGATAGGATAACACTGAACTGCTTCTACAGGCAAAATACAAAACTCCTGTAGGAGGAGCGTTTTTTTTAAGCCAAGTGTGCATGAACCCTAATCCTGTCTGATGATCTACTTAGGAGGTTGATCTGACCTTGGGCTCTTGTCTTTGTTTGCCACATGCTTGAACATTTGCCTGAGGTGCAACGTTTCCCAAACCCTGTCTGCCTTAACCCAAACTTTGCTATCTATCTGGAAGAAGGGGCCTGTCTGTGATGGTCCCAGAGCTCTCCAATCAGCAGAGAGCATAAGATTTGCTGACTGCAAAGCTATAGATCAGACCCAGCAGAAGGACATCTAAAGAGAGAGCATTTGTTCCACAAAGAGAGCAAGAGCCCTTATCTACAGCATGTTGGTGGGTACAAGCTTTTCTACCTAGAATGTGGCTGTTTATAAAGAAAAGAAACTGTGTCAAGGTGCTTTTGATGGCATCATGTGACGATGCCTGATGAAGGGGTCCTGCAAGACTCCGAAACGTTGCCTTGCTGTAACTATGTGATAGTTCATTAAAACCTTTGGACCCATATTGGTGATCCTCGGTGTGCTGGTGACATTTTCCCATACCGGTTTGCAATTTACATCTGTAGGAATGCAAAACCAAATGAAGGCAATTGCATTTCAATGCTTCTGTCAGTGTATTCTTAATGAACTCTAAAACGAATGTCAAACTGAGGCCCTGGACACAAGACTGTAGTCTGACGTCACCGGCCCCAGGACGCCTTTTGTTTTATACATCTAGTATGTTCTCTGGAAATGGATGGTATAACAAATGTTAGAGTGGTTAGGTTTTGTCTATGTTTACCTGTGTGCTGGACAGGTTTCTGCACAGCCTGTAGAAAGTTCACTTCCTTGGATTTGAAGAAGGCAGACATTCCTTCATCTCCACTGACAAAAGTCAATCTGTTGCCTGCAGCCACTACAGTAAAGATTGGTCCATGCTGAAAGACATTGTGGAGATGCTTCATGAAATGTGGGATACACTTATTGATTGAACATAAACAAAAGGCACCTAAAAGCATACTTCTATATATTGTCACACTGCGTGAACTAGGGAATATGTTTCCTCTACAAGTAGTAAACCGATCCTACTACCTGAACCTTTTCTTGATTAAATTGATTAGCAGCTTGAAGCGTTTTTTCTCTCTGTACTGGTACATGTCCATGAGCAGTCTACTTTCCTGTCTTCTGATGGTTTCTTGTATCTTCATGAAGGGCTAGTCTACTAGCTGACAAAGCGATGATTTCAGATCAGTCACTTCTACATGTGTTCCAAACTTTCATGGAAACATTTCTTGAAATACATCTTTATTAATCCCCCTTCACATGGGGCAGACCCATCAGCAGATCCACTTGCACAGAAGCAAGTGGATGACAGGTCCTCTCTGGGCTGTTGGATGGAAATGGGCTGCCTGTCTGTTTCCATCCCACTGCCATCTGATCCAATCAGCCAGATGGGGAGCAGATCCCCTTCTGTCTGTTTTTAGTGGATAGGATCGGATGCGGGCGGGTGTAAACGGACACATATCCATTTACACCCGCTGCTCCATAGAGAGCAATGAAGCGTTTGATCAGTTCCGCTTGAAAAATGGACAGGCGGACCCGGTCGGTCCGCTCATATGAAAGGGACCTTACACACCCAAAATGATTTTGTTAAAGCTGGAAATGTGAAGGAAAAAAACATAACTGAATGTCTTAAAAACGCGATGAATTGAACTTCTTTTCCCATGCCAGCTTAATTCATGGCAATCAGACTTTCCAAACAAATTACTATTTTTGTTTATACAGGGTGAACAAATATGTATCGCATCATCATCTCTTGGTGTCTTCCAGATCCACACCATGGGATATCTGTAGATAGCAGCACCTACCATGGTGTAGATACCCTAATACAGACTTAGAAGTTGCAAAAAGTGCTCTTTGTCTGAGGGTATATAGGGGATGCAGTCAAATTTGAATGCCTCCAGAAAGACAGATTACAGATTTTTTTTTTTTTTTTATTGTGGGGTGTACAAATATGTAGAGCATGATAAGCAGCCAATTCTCTTGGTAATTTTTTTCACACAAAGAGAGCTTTATTTTGGTGGTATTTGATTACCACTGTTTTTTAATACTGTATATAAACAAAAAGACTGACAATTTTGAAAAAAAAATGTTAATTTACTTTTTGCTATAAAACATATCCAATGAAAAAAAAATTCTTTCTTCATAAAATTTAGGCTAAAATGTATTCTGCTACATGTCTTTGGGGAAAAAAATCCAATATATATATATTAATTGGTTTGCATGAAAGTTATAGCATCTATAAATGACAGTATATATACTGGAATTTTTATTTAGTAGTAAATTTGACGATCAGCTGCTTCTAGCGTGACTGTGATAGTGCGGCGGGTACTGCCACTGAGTGCGAACTGCCACTGACATCACCATAGCTAATATGCACTGACACTGTACTAATGACACTGGGTAGGAAGGGGTTAAAATCTGGGGCAAAGGGTTAACTCTTTGCCTAGAAAGTGTTTATGTGCAAGCTGATTTTTACTAAAGGATGTGCTGGTTTTTATTCCCTGCTTTGTAGGGAAACAAAAACCGACACATCCCCACCAAAAGGACTGAGCTCAGTGTTGGTTTTATATTTACAGAGCTCTGTTCTGTCTTCCTCCTCGCCGATCAGCGGGTCCAGGCTGTCAATCATTGGCCGATGAATGAATCACAGCACAGCCAGGTCGGTGGGCAAGCAAGCGCCAGAGCATTCTTTAAGGCAGGGCAAATGGGGCAGCTGCCCTAGCCCCAGTCATTTCTGTGGGGTCCAAAGAAGCTGCCCCATACTTGCCAACTGTCCCGGTTTACATTCACTTGTCCCTTAAAGTCTTCCCCTGTGCTATGTCCTGATATCTCAGCGTAAAGTGCTATCACAGCTCTGCCTTATTGCAGTACAGATGACTCAGACAATGTCATCATTCACATGTAAATAACCTGCATTGCTATATAAATAGCGGCGGCATTTACAGTTCCAAGAAAAAGTATGTGAACCCCTTGGGATTACGTGGAGTTTTGCATGAATTGGGCATAAAATGTGCTCTGAACGTCATCTAAGTCACAACAATAGAAGAACACAGTCCTGCTGAACATAATACTACACAAACATTAGATGTTGCCATGGTTTAATTGCACATAACATGTAAACATTCACAGTGCAGGGAGGAAAAAGTATGTGAACCTTTGGACTTAATAACTGGTTGACCCTTTGGCAGCAATAACCTCAACCAAACGTTTCCTGTAGTTGCAGATCAGACCTGCACAACCATCTGGAGTAATTTTGGACCACTCTCCTCTTCACAAAACTGTTTCAGTGTAGCAATATTCTTGGGATGTCTGGTTGTGAATCGCTCTCTTAAGGTCATGCCACAGCATTTTCAATCGGGTTGAGGTCAGGACTCTGACTGGGCCACTCCAGAAGGCATATTCTGTGCTGTTGCAGCCATTGTTTTGTTGAATTACTTGTATGCTTTGGGTCATTGTCCTGTTGCATCACCCATCCTCTGTGGAGCTTCAGTTGGCGGACAGATGGTCGTACGTTTTCCTGCAAAATGTCATGATAAACTCTGGAATTCATTTTCCCATCAATGACAACAATCCGTCAGGCCCTGAGGCAGCAAAAGCAAGCCCCAAACCATGATGCTCCCTCCGCCATGTTTCACAGTGGGGATGAGGTTTTGATGTTGGTGTGCTGTGCCTTTTTTTCTCCACACATAGTGTTGTGTGTTCTTCCCAAACAACTCAATCTTGGTTTCATCTGTCCACAGTATATATTTTGCCAGTAGTGCTGTGGAAACATCCAGGTGCTCTTTTGCAAACTTCAAACGTGCTGCAATATTCTTTTTGGACAGCAATGGCTTCCTCCGTGGTGTCCTCCCATGTACTCCATTCTTGTTTAATGTTTTCCTTATTGTAATGTGTCAACAAAAATGTTAGCATGTGCCAGAGATTTCTGTAAGGTCTTTAGCTGACACTCTGGGATTCTTCTTTACCTCATGCAGCATTCTGCGCTGTGCTCTTGCAGTCCTTTTTACAGGACGACCCCCGCCTAGAGAGAGTAGCAACAGTGCTAAACTTTCTCCATTTGTAGACAGTCTGTCTTACCGTGGCCACATGAACATCAAGGCTTTTGGAGATACTTTTGTAACCCTTACCAGATTCATGCAAGTCAATAATTCTTGATCGTAGGTCTTCTGAGCAGGCTCTTTTCTGTGAGGCATGGTTCACATCAGACAGTGCTTCTTGAAACCAGTAAACCCAAAACAGGTGTGTGTTTTTTAAGGGCAGGACAGCTGTCAGCAACACATCCAATATCATCACACTGATTGGAGTCAAGGTTGGCTCACTCCTGCTCAATTAGCTCTGGGAGAAGTCATTAAGCTAGGGCCTCACATACTTTTTTCCCCCTGCACTGTGAATGTTTACATGTTATGTGCAAATAAAACATGGCAACATCTAATGTTTGTAGGTATTAATTATGTTCAGCAGACTGTGTTCTTCTATTGTTGTGACTCTTAGATGACGTTCAGAGCACATTTTATGCCCAATTCATGCAAAACTCGTCCATGTAATCCCCAAGGGTTCACATACTTTTTCTTGCAACTGTATATGTATGTCATAGTGCCCCAGAGGCTCCATTCACCATCACCTCTGCTGAATGCTGCCTACTGGGGAGGTAAGCAGGGGCATGGTTTAAAGTCCTGCCTGCAACTGTGGTCAATTGAGCCTACCATCAGCCTGTTCTGCAAGGGTAAGCAAAGTGAAAGAGGCGTGGGGTAAATGTGTATTGTGACAGAGATAGGCAGAGAAGGAATTACAGTTTAGTGAGCAAGGAGAGGATGTACAGAGGTAAAGATGGATGGGTGCCAAGATGAGCAGAGGAGGCAAGTAGAGTTATAGTGATGGTAGTGGGGGGAGGGATGGAGAGGAATGGGGGAGGTTTAGGGTGCATAGGTTATCAGTGAGCCCTTAATGATATGCTGTAACCTTTTAGCAACCAATCAGTGAGCTGTAATGATGTGCTTTAACCTCTAGCAAACACTAGGTATGTGATCCAGTCCGTCGCCGTAATAAGTTATGGGGTCAGCAAGTGGGTAAAGACGCACTTCTAGGCCTGCATCTGTAATCAAATGAAGGAAAACTTCAAACAAACTCAAGAGCTCTGATAAGGTGGCTCCCACCCAGCAAGGCCTTCCCTCGATGGGCACCCAACTGTAGCCAGACCCCAAAACTGGAAAGAGTCCCAGGGTAATTTTAATTGTTGCTGCTCACGTTTTTTACTCCATATAGAGATTCAATATTGGTTTCAAATATATATCTGTGAAGTCATGGTTTTACTGTTTTTTTTTGTTCACCAAGTTTTATCCTGTGTTTGAACTCTGATGAAGGGGGAGTGGTGTTGCCACAAAAAGCATTTGCTGGCTCTCCTTTCTGTATTTCTATACAGTATGTTGAAAATAGCAGCTGTGCTAGAATAGTCTCACTATTTATAGATGGTAAAAAATGCAACATACTGTATACATCCAATGCATGTTGCTGACCTGGTAAGGCATTTGTTTTTTGCACAATGACTGGAATTTTAAATACATACGTAGTTAAACATGCATCGCTTGGCCCCTGTCCAACAGAACAATGCCCAGAACCTGCACAATTTGGTAAAATGTCCATAATAGGAAAGAGGAAGCGTGCATATTCCTTTGCAAACAGCGACCATCAGAAAGTCGAAATTTGGATATTTGCTTCAGAAAGCCTCTGGATGCTGAAGGAGGGATGAATGTTGAGATAGAATGTACTTTTGTGCCTCTCACAATAACAGATTTGCTTAAACGTTTTAAAATCTATGTAGTTTAAAATAAATAAAAAACAAAAGAAATGCTTCTTTCGCTTGTATACCCATTTATCA